AAGTGATGATATTGAGCATCTTACGAATGGGGATTGGGCTAATGTTAAAATGCTTGTTGATTTTTTAGAAAAATTTCATATTGCTACAAATGAATTTTTCTGGGCAATATTATCCTACTATTTCTAACTGTTTAGTTTATATTGCATAACTTGCAAATTTGTTTACTCATTTTCAGAGGGTGGAAAAATTTATAAACTTGCTATTGAGTCTATGAGAAAAAAGTTTAAAAAATATTTTTTCCCTATTCCCCCTATTTATGGTGTTGCTGCTTTGTTAAATCCTTGTATGAAATTAGGAGATCCTCAATTTTGGTATGAAACTGTATATAATGGTTTAGTACTTGAAGATGCTGAGTTGGCTGGACTTCCGTAAGCAATAGCCTCAATTAGAATAAATGCTCAAACTACTTATAATGCTTATCAAGTTGCATTAAATCATGCTAGACCAAATGTTCCAACTCCTCCTTCTGATTCTCAATCATCTAAAAGAACTGCGGGAGTAAGAGCACTTAGTGCTTGGGCGGGGTTTAGGGGTTCTCAAGGTTCTAGTAGTAATGATTTTTCACAACTAAATGAGCTTGAAGTTTATTTGTCGCACCAAATTGAGGAAGTGAATCCCGACGGCTCCTTTAATCTTTTGCAATGGTGGAAGGACAAAGAAAAACACTTTCCGGTTCTTTTAAGGATGGCCCGAGACATTTTAACTATTCAAGCTTCAATAGTGGAATCGGAGAACGTTTTCAATCACGCAAGACTTCAACTCGGTGATTATAGAGCGTCTATGAGGGAGAGCTTGGAAAAATCAGTACTTTTTAGAGATTGGATCCGTTCGGAAAGAAGAAATTTTGGACTTGCTGAATCACAACCAGAGGAAGACGAAGCTTACGAAGAACTGCTAGCTGAACTTGCGGAGGATGCTGCTTCGCCCGACAATGGAAGCGGCGATGACCAAGCTACTTTTCCGCCACCACCAACGGAAATTCCTCCGAACCTTGAAGGATTTATGAAGTTTGTAAGAGATACCATGTAACTTGTATGAACAAAAATTAGTATGTATTATGTAACTTGTATTTTGGCACATCTTGATTAGTTTCTTTTTCTTCTCAATGGTGGTATTAGCACCTTGTTGTGCTCATTCCATAGAAGGGAGGAAGACTAAGAAAGATATTGCCATATTTTTTTAATGCTATAATAAAATTACAAGGTGCTTTGAATATCTCTTTACAATATTTTTGTCTTTAAATTTTGAATTAAAAAGTTTAGGTCATAATTCTATAATAAAATTTACAAGGCATTGCCTTAGATATTTTTTTTACATCTTTTTGTTTCTAATTTCAATTCTAATTTTTTTTAAAAAAAATTAATATTTTAGCCGTTGGGCTCATTTAGCCCGCGGGCCCGGCCCGTTTAGCCCGAGACCATGAGTTTGTGGGCCCGGTCTCGGGCCAGTTCCTAGAAAAAGACCGTTTGGCCCGTTTAGTTAGGGACCGGGACCAGTACCATTTGGACCGGCCCACTTTGCCCGTTTAGGGCCCGTACCGGCCCACATGCCACCCCTACATTAGAGGCGAAATATTTCAATTTTATTGAAACTGGAAAGGTAGCTGCATGATACTAATGGCATCACAGTAAGCATAATTTCTCAAGCAACAGCCGTAAGGCTTCAACTAAATGTAGCCTTGTGGCTACAAAAAAGTATCCTTGTAAAGTTTAAACGGCTGGCTAGCCCATTTGCAGCTATGCAATTAAAGGATTTCCACTAATCATACCGTTTTACCAAAAATAAGAGTGCAGATAAAAAAAGAAAAGTGTAGATTCTGCATTTATTAGTAACGTCATATAGAAGAATAGAATGACATTTCTAAAGCATTCAAATTCCTCAGAAACCAAATGTCTGACCTGGAAACGTATCATTGACATTATTACATCGCAATAACTACATATCATGAAGGGGAGCATTGGAGCAACGGTAAAATTATCTCTGTGTGACTTATTAGTCACGGGTTCGAGCCGTGGAAGCAGCCACTAATGCTTGGCATTAGAATAGGCTGTCTACATCACACCCCTTGGGGTGGCGTCCTTCCCCGGACCCTGCGTGAATGCGGGATACTTTGTGCACCGGCCTGCCCCCAATAACTACAGATAGCTTTTTCTCCGGACAAAATAATGTGCACGTAATCTCCAATAAATTCCCAGCTAAGCCTAGATGATACTAATCATTGCGATCCTTTGTTTTTTAAAGTACTAATTATTACTTGTATCATCCTTAAACAGACTACAGAGACGATAATTAGCAGCCATTCATGCATCTAGTATGGCCAACAATTACTAACATAAATACCTAACTTACAGCCAACTGCAATATACTTTAATAAAATAGTACAATCGGATCTAGGAAACATAATCAAATAGGGGAAATAAGTCAATAACTACACATTTCATATAGGTCTCCGCTCAAAACATGTTGCCATCTATCTGAAAGAAGAGACAGAGAAATGGAAACTACATTAGTGTCTATTGCCTAATCACACTTCGAAATATTATGCAAAAGTTTCATAGCAAATAGGCTCTTTTTGACAGATATTTTTCCCTAAGTACAAGTTAACATGCCAAGACCTCCTTCCTTAAGACATCCTGCTGGACTAGATAAAGGTAAACATGAAAGAGTAACCTTCTTTCATTGGTTACATATGTCTTTTAGAGTAGAAGTTGTGAAAAAATTGACAACCCAGATAAAACTTCACACATTCACCGTTGCGATTTGCGAAAAGGCCACCTTTACTCCCTTAGCCAGTCAAAAACCTAATAGAGCCTTGAGGTCTACAAAATTCCACATGGAAGTGATGAGAGCGACCCCAGCAAGGGAAAAGGAGACTTCTAACTTTGCATTCACACAGCAAAATCTTTTGCACTTAAAAAAAATACTCAAAGAGAAGATAAGAAACTTTAGCATAATCAATCAGATGTGATAAGAAAGCATTGGGTAGGATAGGAGTACCTATCAGCTACCAAAAATATCTCATCTCCTCTACAAGTTAAGCTGAATTTGCGAAGCTATTAATAAACACTACAAATAGTAGCAAAAGATCCAACAAGTAGCATCCACGTAAGGAGTGCTCCATCATTCATGGGATAAAAACTCGTCAGCTAAAGGTGAGTATCCTCCCATTGAGGGCTTTCTTTGGAACCCCAAAGTTATCTTCCTTCCATCAACCTCTCATAGAAAGGCTTAAGAGCTGCCATGGTAGCATACAGACCGTCTTTTAGTTCAAACCTTTTATCATGAAGTTGAGCTAGCTCTATGAAGATTTGTCTTTCTTTCCCAGTTGAGCTCATTGAACAAAAAGCTTTAGAAAAGTCAACCAGATAGGAATTGTTTTTATAGTTAAAGAAAGACAATATTGACAAAAAACGGCAATAAGAAGGTGCTAGAAGATATTACAGATAGTGTAGATCTTTTAGTATATCTAGTATGTCATTTACATCATTTACAAAAGTCAACCTGCACTAAAAAACCAGATACGAAAACTCACAGAAAAGTAATAGAAAGCAGAAAAGACTTAACTTCCCCACTCCTAATCGGCACAGCAGGCTTCTCCCGCATAGTCGTAAGCAAGATTAGAACCACGATCCCGAGAAATAAGGAAAAACATTGAACATTTTTTTTTGATGACCGGAAATCTGTCTAAGGCCAACCCTTAGGACCACCGCAGCCTATGAAACTCGGGGATAATGGGCCCGCCCCTCTACACTTCTCCACTTAAATACTAATTCGCATAGCGCAGGGCTCGAACCTATGACCTAAGTCACAAGCCCCTCAACCTTTGCCACTTGAACTAAGACCTGGGGGCAAAATATTGAACTTTTAATATTTGTCTCTTCTAAGTATATTCAATCTATTCCCCTGCCCCCAAACGACCCTGAATACTTCAATCCTCATACAGTATCTTAAGTGATCTATCCTTGGACTTTGTCAAAAAGAGAAGAATCTTAATTGACTTAAATGTAAAGATCATAAATTAAGCCGAATCCTATATCTACATAATGTTGCTCTTGGCAACAAACATGGATGAACCATTTTATAAAGTATGTGTCCTCACAGTCCAAAGTCAAGATAGTTAGCTTTTGAGAATAGATGTGGAACATTAGATTTTCCTTTGGATCCAAAATAATCTGTCCAAACATCTGTCTCCTCATTGCCACAACAAACATGGTTCAGAATATGATTGAATCATTCCAGTGGAGCTCAGATACTGCTTGAAAAGATAATTGATATCACTCAACGCAATGAGGAAAAGACCTCTCGATCGTGGCCAGTGAGAGAACATATTTAGAATGGGAACGCAGCAATGAGGAAAAGACCTCTCGATCGTGGCCAGTGAGAGAACATGTTTAGAATGGGAACGCGCAAAGATTTATATGGATTTACTTAAGAAAAAGAAGACTGAGAAGGTAAGGTACATATGCAGATAACAGGGACAATCATCCAACAATCCCCACTTTTAATCTGGAGTGGAATTAAGTATCTCCGAGCAAAAGCAGTTGAACAAAGACTCTTCTCAGCTGAGAATCTATCTTGCAATTGTTGTAATGGCTAAAAATATAGCATCAAACAACTTAAAATTACGAAATAAAAAGGACAAAAAGCTTAAAGCAAAATTTGACTATGTTGTTTAAGCGACCACAGAGTTTTAAGCAACAAATTAAAAAGAGCTGAAACATTAATGTGAGACCAACTGGTTACCATACTGGTCACCATTGAGAAGTACGTTCCTTTATAATCACTCAAACAGCTAGAAACATCGATAATATGAACAGCTAAATTGGAACTTTGGTATTGACAAAAAGGAAACTAAATTTGTGCATAAACCCAGAAATAGACATATAAAAAAACTAATCTTTAAGAATTATTGAGGGAAAATTAGCATGCAACTGATACACAAACACATGCAACTCACTAATTGAAGAACTCCGTTCCAATTTACGTGAAATTGTTTGAGTGAGCACATAGTTTAAGAAAAAATAAGACTTTTGGAATTTATGGTCCTAAACAAATAAAAAAAGGCCCAGATTATTTTTGTGGTTAGAATTGTAAGTTTAAGCTAAATTATTACCAAATTTAGTAAAGTACATTATTTTTGGAACGGACCAAAAAAAATAGTTTCACGTAAACTGGAACAAATGGAGTATATGATAAATCCAAAAGCTTACCTTTTTACCATCAGGAAAATCGATTCTTTCGCCGTGTCGCCGATAATTATAGCACAAATTTTTGTTATATAATTTCACCAACTGGAGATCCCTACATAAATATCCAAAATAAACCCTAAATTAGAGCCAGATATTAAAAAATGGTGATCAATGATTATATAAATAAAATCCAGCAAAACCCACAAAAAAGGCATTCCTTCTGGGAACTAAATGCATGCACTTTCACGAGATTAATTAAAAAGAGAAAGCTCTAAACAATCAAATTTACAATATTCTTTTATAAGTATAAAAACTGAAACTTTAGATTTAATTATTCGATAACCCAAAAAAACTAACCAAATAGTGGTTGATCAAGAGATTCCAAATGGAAAGTAGAGAGAGAAAACTTAGATAACTTGAAGAGAGAAGCATTAACACATGTTGTTCTTGAGAAAGAGAAACTGTGAACTTCTGTAATTATTTAACTGCTACGTGGCTGTTTCTTTTTTAGTTAATAATTAATAATGACCCCATTGTTTGTTTAATTTCCTACCCATAAAAAGAAGATCTTTACATAAATAACCCAATAATTTACTTATACTTTTTCTAACTCATATACAAAATTATATATTATAATTATATTAAAAGTACTAAAACTCTTACAGCTTGTTTGGATTGTTGTTACATGTCGTTTCATAATATATCGTATTGTATTTTACTGCCTTGTATTGTATTGTTTGATAAATACAACATTTGGATAGACTGTATCATTTGCCGTCGTTTCATGATGTCATGCACTAATTATTTGAAGAATAAACTTGCAACATTACTAAGAAAAAATAAGATATAGAGTAGAATTATTATATTAAAAAGTAGGGTAAAGGATAAAATATAATTATTTAATAATAAAGAAGGGCAAAATGAGAGAAAAAAGCAAGAAAACGACGCCACCACACCAAATTCGTTGTTCCATAAAGTGACACTTTTCGTCATTACGTAACGATGTATTTAACCATATGATATAATAAAATTTAAGTTACAATCAAAACAAACATTGTATTTAAAATAACAATATGATATAATACAACATGTAACAACCATCCAAACAAGTTGTTAGTGAAATATCATTCGTATTTTTTTACCCCTTTAAATTAGAATTCATACAGAATAAAATAGTCATATAATTATTATTATAATATTTAAACATAGTAATTTTACTTATCTCCTACTATCTAGGAATAGTACAACAATAAGTCAACAATAACAACAAACCTAGTGTATGCCCACAAGTGGGGTCTAGGAAAGGTAGTGTGTACGCAGACCTTACCCCTACCTTTAAAAGATAGAGAGGTTGTTTCCGATAGACCATCGGCTCCGGAAAGATAATAGGGGAGGAGAAATGACAAGCAAACCAATTTAAAAACCAAGTCAAAATACAAAACTAACACTAGGTAGTGCAATTAGAAAATCAAAACGAAGGCAACAACAAGTAATAGCAGAAGTCTAGGAAAACGAAAACACACGCGACACTAAGTGGTGTACTAAAACTGTTGTAACAAAACAAAGACAAAGATCGACTACCTAACTGTCTACCCTGATTCTCAACCTCCGCACTTTCCTATTCATGGTCATGTCCTTTGTTAGTTGGAACAACGCCATATCTTGCCTAATCACCTCCCCCAATACTTTTACGGCCTGCCCCTACCTCTGCGTTGGCCCTCCAAGTTCAGCCTCTCGCACCTCCTTACTGGTGTATTTGTGCCTCTCCTCTTCACATACCCAAACCATCTTAGCCTCGCCTCTCGCATCTTGCCCTCCATCGAGTGTAACAACCCGACCGGTCGTTTTGCTTTCAAGAACCTCGTTCCCTTAAATAATACTCTCTGTATGGATTTTACTGTTTTATGACTTGCGGGGATGGTTAGTTCGGGTTTGAAAGGGCTCGAGTTGAAATCGGAACATTTAGTTCCTTAATATTGGCTTAAAAGGGGTAAGTTTGACTTTGTTTAACATTTATTGTAAACGACCTCAGAATCGGGATTTGACTGTCCCAATAGGTTCGTATGATGATTTTCGACTTGGGCGTATGTTCAGATCGGGTTTTGGATGATCCGGGAGTGTTTCGACGCTTAATATTGAAGGTTGGCACATTAAAGGTTTTTTTAATTTCTTTAAATTTGGTTTGGAGTAGGTTTTGGTGTTATCGAGGTCCGTTTGGAATTTTGAGCCCAGAAGATGATTCCGGGTGGTGATTTGTGACTTGCCCGCAAAATTTGACGTCATTCCGAGTTAATTTGATAGGAATCGGACGCGCGAAAGTATTTCTAGAAGTTTTTAGAGTTTAATAATTTGATTCATGCGTTTTGGCGTCCGATTCATACTTTTAGATGTTATTTTTCTGTTTCGAGCGAGCGAGCGGGTCCGTATTATGTTGTTGTATGTGTGAGTGTTATTGGATGGGGCCCCAGGTATGGATCAAATTGGAAATTGAATTTGGAATTGGCTTGGGGGACTGCTGGTGCACCAGCTCTGGTGCGTCCGCACCTGCGAGATTTTGGCCACATGTGCGAGCATTTGATCGCATAAGCAGCTCCGCAGAAGTGGAAGACCGTCCGCAGAAGCACAGGCAGGTGGCCTGGGCTAGGACCGCACCTGCGATGGATTTTCCGCAGGTGCAGCGCCGCAGATGCGCCCCAGGATTCGCAGAAGCGAAAATCGTTGGGGCAGTGAGGTTCATTTAATGTCGGGACTTAGGCAATTTTAACTCATTTCTTTCATCTCTTGGGCGATTTTGGAGCTCTTTGAAGAGGAGTTTTCCCCTAGCTATTTGAGGTAAGTAATTTCTATGTGAGATGAGTTTAATACATGTATTTTTAGGTAGATTCTTAGCATATAAAGTGTAAAAGTTGTGGGTTTAGTTTAAAAACTTAAGTTTTGATAAAAATGGGATTTAACCACGAAAATAATTATGGAATTGGGTAAAAATTATATATTTGAGTTTATGAGGTTATTGGTAACAATTATCTTCGAAAATTTTGGAATACGGGCACGTGGACCCGGGGTGAATATTAGGAATATTCCAATTTGGGTTAGGTAACTACTCTAATAGCTAAATTATTAACTTTTGAGTGTACATTGACTAATTTATATAATATTTGGCTAGCTTCAGATTGTTCGACACCAAGTTGAGGCCTTAGAGTGAATATGTGGGTCGGAAAGTGAGCTTTGAGACGAGGTAAGTCTCTTGTCTAACCTTGTAAGAGGGAATTTACCCTACGGGTGTTTAAAATTATTATTTGCTTCTAATTGTGGGGGCTATGCACGCACGAGGTGACGAGAGTCCGTGCGTAGCTACTAATTTTGCTTATGTCCGGGTAGTTTTAGGACCCAAACCATGAAATACTTATATTGTTTGCACTCCACTTGTTAATTTAAGTGCCTAAATAATATTGAAACTTGATAAAGGATTCGTAAAGGCCGAATTTCACTTAATTTGAGTTTTGGCGGGTTACTTCACTGTTAATAGAAATTGTGTTTTCTTGTGTATTACGCTTTTAATATCTTTTAAATCGGATGTTCATAGAGTATCCTCTCTTCTTGTGGAGCGGGCCGAACGTCTCGGCAGTATAATAGATGCATCTATGGTTCATGCCGCTTGACCCTCGGTAGTATATACATTATTCTGGATCAGTACGTACGATCTCAACATAAATCGTGCATGTTAATGCTTGGAGCCTGAACACACTTGATATTATTTTCATGAATTTAGAGGTTATAATTATTTAATTGCCTGAGATTTACTTAGAATTAGTATGTGTTAGTGGAAGACTATTGGAAGGTGACGAGAGTTTGTACGTAACTAAAGCATATTATGTCCGGGTAGACTTAGGACCTCACCATGTAATATTTGAAATATTTGAACTCATTCTGCCAGCTTAATTAATTGAATTTTTAATTAAACTTGATTTAGAAATATATACATATATATTAGGCCGAGCTTTATTACCTTGAGTCGTTGGCAAGTTATTTGAGAAACAATAAAGGTTATACTCACATTGTGTTCATATACTGTATCGTAATCTCATTTCTCGTAATTTGATAATTCCTTTCCTTTCTTGTGGAGCGGGCCGAACGACTCGGCAGGATTATGTACCACACTCTCATGGGAACGGGCAGTTCGCCTCGGCATTATAATAGATGCATCTATAGTTTGTGTCGCTCGACCCTCGACAATGTACACGTTATGATGGGATCATGTGAATCGCCTCGACAATATCATTCTCTTTCTGAGATCTGGCTGTACTACCTCGGCATAATCGTGCGTCATATTGCTAGCAATCCGAATATTCGCGAGATTTTTCTTCCACTGATGCCTTGCGTTTTATATGGTATTTCTTATCCGTTTGTTATTGGCACTTGATATTTTCAAGTTGTTGAGATAGAATACAAGATTGAGAAATTGATATCGTTAAAAGAAATTTTGGAAGATTGTGTTAGTTACAATTTTACCTCACTACTATTGGTGTGCCTCTTATCTGTTTATGATTTACCACGTTGATTTATTGGACCACTAGTAAGAGTAAGTGTCGATGTCGACCCCTCGTCACTACTTCTCCGGGGTTAGACTAGATACTTACTAGATACACGTTGATTTACGTACTCATGTTGCACTTCTATACTAAATGTGCAGGATCTGACAGGTTCATTGGTGATCATCTTGGCGCGTAGGCGCAGCTGTTGAGGAGACTTTATGTGAGCTGCATTCAAGGCTACGCATCGCAGTCCACAGAGTCTCAATCGTATTATTTAATTTATCCTGTCTCATTTACATTCTAGACAGATGTTGTATTATTATTGCACTCCTTAGTAAATGCTCATGTACTTGTAATACCGGGTTTTGGGGTATACTAGTTGATGCTTGTGGTTCTGTATATTATCATCGCCTTTTATTTCTCTTATAAACTACAATTTTGTACATTTCCGTGGATTTAAAAGTGTAAATTTCCTTTCTTATTAAAATTTGTGATTTCGAAGGTAGTAAAATAAGTAATTAAATTGATCGATCACCGTTGGCTTGCCTAACGGCGGCGTTAGGTGCCATCACGACCTATAGTGGATTTTGGGTCATGACATACTACCTATTTGAATATGCCAAAAATGGCAGTATCTATAGTCAACATATTCAAATATCAAATATTAGGTTTATCAAGGTCGAAAAACCGATAGTGAAAAAGGGTAAGAGGATAAAGGGGTATCTAAGCTTACAACAACAACAACAAATCTAGTATACTTTCATAAGTAGGGTCTGAGGAGGGTAGTGAGTACATAGAACTTACACTTACCGTAAATATAAAGAGGTTGTTTCAATAAACCCTCGGCATAAGGAAAGAAGATAAAAATAAAGCAATAGCAACAAACAGTAACGAGAAAAAGATAATAAGAAAACAAGGTGATAGGAACAACATATA